GGTCGACTTCGTGTTCATACTTTTCCGGCGAAGAAGACTAGCCGTCATGGCCTCTCCCTCTCTAAGTGAGTTGTGGGTGTTTAATCGAACAATGAAGCAAACAAAAACATTATAAACATATATGTTTTCCATTTTTAGTAAAAAATTGTAAGATTCGAAAAAATGCAACATGTGTCACCATGTGACATCGAACTCGTGACCTCGAGGTATGGATATGTGCGTTTTCATATATTTTTTCAAAAACACTTCAAAAAACGTTTGACAAAAAGCCATCAAAAATGTTTTTCACAAAAAGAATAAAATCACGAAGGAGAATAATAGATTTAGGAAATATTTACCGAATATTACGTTTTTGAAAAGAAAATAACTCACAATTTAATGGTCTTAGATTTAAGGGATTAAAACTAACTTTGGCAGAATATCATTTCTACCATTTGGTAGAAGATAGAAAAAACGGTAAATAAAAAGGGTAGAATATGTATTCTGCGTATCGTAGAAGACAGAGTCATTGTAGAAATAGTATTCTGCGGTTGGTAGTACTTACGCAAAATGGTGGAATGTGCAATATGCGATATGTAGAACTTGAACAATTAGTAGAATACTTCTTTCTACCACTCGTAGATTTATACAAATTCGCAGAACACCTAATCTACTAGTAGATTCGACCATGGTAGAAGAAAAAAATAAATAATTTTCTGTCATAGTTGTTTTTGAAAAAAAAAATATAAACATGAATCTATATGCCTTGTACATTATTACTCTTTTGTATTTTCCTGATTTTATAAAATTATAAAAATAATTTATTTGTAATTTTCAATATTAATCAAATGGTAATGTAGGAAAAAATTGGCACAAAAAAGACAAAGGTTATTGAGACAAAACAAATTTCAATGTGAGTCAATTTAGCAAAATTCCCATATTTTTTTCTATTTTAGAGATAAATAAACATAAACACATTGGAGATGGTCTTACCATAGCAGCGGAAAGAGATTGAACGTTTGTAGAAAAAAGCAAAGGGAGGAAGAAGGAACAGTTTTGTAGGCTATCAAGAAATGTAATGAAGTCTAAAATTATGTATGGATTTTCTATTAACATTTTTTTTAAATGCTAATATAGCATATAACTATTGAATGTTTTAAATCCTATGTCCACGTACCATTATATTTCATTTTTTAAAATTAAAAATAATAATAACAAAAGTTTTGCTAATTTGTCAATTATATAGAGAAATTTTAAAAAATGCCATTTTTCAAGTGTCACTTTACAAAAATGCCACACTTTTGAAATTTTTACAAAAATGCCACTTTTTCAAAATTATTTTTTCTTTATATTATTTATGTTTGGGTTAATTATATTCTATTATGATTTAGTTATGAGGGTTTAAGGGGGTTTAGGGGTCAAAACATTTTTAGTGTTTAGAATTTTAAGATATAGGGTTTAAAAATCTATAATTAGTGGCATTTTTGTAATTGAACACCCCTAAATGGCATTTTTGCAAATGTGCACATAAAAAGTGGCATTTTTGCAATCACCCCAATTATATATGGTTTTTT